CCGACACAGTCCAGGCTGAGAACGAGTTAACTTACGACACGATTGTACCCGCGACACGTGATATACGCTCGTACGGGTCAGTCTCGTGAAGAATCGACCCTCTGACGCATTTGCAGCGTCCGAAGCTCCGCCGTAGCCGCTGTACGTCCTCGCAGTCCGGTATTCGAACGTCTTGGCTGCGAAGAGACGCGTTTTTTTCTCGATTTTGATTCAAGAATGAATGAAAATAGACTCAGAGAGCTTGGCGGGCTCCGTTCGAATTTCGCCCCTCCAACGTTGAAGTTCAGTGGGCATCTACAGGGGGGCGCCACTTTACGGAGCCGCGTGGAGGAGACCACGTGTTGGCACGAGGGAGGGTCCGGACCTCCCACCGACCGGGTCTTCGTTTCTCGATCGGAGCACTCACTCCAACGTCCGTGCCAGACACGTTAGGTGACGTACGGAAACGTCAGCTTTGCGCGGCTTTGTGTAGGCGGGCGGGCGGTTTGACTAGCAGGCGATTGCTCGGTTGGCTCGTTCGTGCCACGCTCGGTGGTGGGCGAGGATCGTGCGCTTACCTCTTCCATGTAGAGATCCTTCCCCGGCTCCCCGACTAGTCAACAAGGGTTTCCATAAATTCGGATAGTCTCGATTATCGTACCTATTCGAGGCAGGAATTCCGATCGGGGTACGGTGACTATCCAAATAGACATATTATCAATATTATCGGCGGCGATGAGCTGCAGAACGATTAGCAAGGAGATAATTGCCAAGGGAAAGTCCCGGACGAAGAAAACTGATTCTCGAGCCAGAGATGCCTCTTCCGAAGGTGCCGTGATCGCTCTCGCTAAGCGCGAGCTTTGCCGCCGAACCTTCTGAGCCAAAGCGGGGTAAACGAAAATCGCTTCCTGGAGTTGAATATCATTTAGAGGAAAAAATAAAAACGGTTGAGGAAGGGGCTTGACTGCGGATCGAAAGACCAACTTTCTACATAGCTCAGCTCATTCACAAACCGACTGCCTGACTGGCAGGCAGCCACGCAGGCTGGCGAGGCAGAGAGGCCCTCAATGTGATGCGGTGGTGTGCTATGTGAGCGCTGGACTTATGTCTGCTGGTGCTGCCGCCGCTGCTGCTCTCCTCTGACGAATGGCGACTCTGATTTATGATCGCGGCTCGCCGCTTGAGGAGTTCAAGTAAGAACCGAGCAGCGAACAACCATCAGCTTGTGCCTAAAGTCAGTCAGGCCGACGAACAGTCAGTCAGTCACTCGGCCCACGAATCGTCGTCGTCGGGATGAGATCTACTAGTGCCAGCAGCAGCAGCAGCAGCAAACATACACCGATGGACATGCAGACGGACAAAGACAGAGGCCAGGCATGACTCACGATCATCGAGTCGACGAGATGCGCTACGCCACGCTACAGCACTCTAGCCCGGCGTTACCACCCCTGACTACCCCCTGCCCTCCCACTTGAGCTGACCGCCTCGGTCATCGATCCATCCGCTCGTCTGTGTTCATTTACGATTTACTGGACTCCGAGGGATCGAATACTTGATCCCCGGAGGGGGCCCGAGGACACAATGTTTCCCCGACTGGACACTCGCGATGTCCCGGGCAACCCTCCTGATCCGCTACGTATCCAAAAATGTCGATCCGTAGATATTCTATGAACTCCTTCTCTGTTGACTTATTCAGACGGAAATAGGACTTGTTCCATCGGGCACCATTGTTACATGTTCCGCGAGCCGTGCATCTTTTTGTGGCGGTACGGCCCGTTGATGTGAGTATTCGGAATTCCGAGGCGTTCTCGTTTCTGGCGACAATCACAACACGACACGCAGTGAACCCGAGCTCGTAAGGGTGTTGCTCGCCGGTCTCAAAAACAAATGAGTCGAGGTGCAAATCACATAAACGCGCGCTCGCTCGGCCTGTCGAGGCAGCTAACAGCAGAGAAATGTCTCTTTCGGTTGTCAAGGCTGTGAGCTATTTCTATACCTGACTGCCGACGACGGACCTTCTGGGCGCTCACGTCTCGGGGTGAGCGACAGAATACCTGTTCGACATATTCGGGGATCGACCCGAGGACTGGGACGAGAAAGATCGCTAATTCGGACCGAACGAGACAGAATGGCTTTTCCGTTTTCCGGTCACGAGTTCGTTACACGCTGGTCGGCACGCATCGATGTCCTGAGGTCGCCCGTGGTCGAAGCAAGCTCGTATTTCCCGACGAAGAGCTGCCTGGCCTCCGGACCGGATCCCGGGGAGAGTTCCCCGCCGACCAGGACAGATCCGACGATGACGGTGCAAACCTCGGTCGCGCTCCCGCAGCCTGTGATCTCTGTCAATGAATCTGATGCGGCCGCGATGATCTCCGGCGATGATCCCGTCACACGTTAACGATTACGTGTATGTTCCATCACGAGAAGAATGGACGACGGGATGAGTGAACGGGCGAACGAACGAGCGAGCGAGCGAACGACAGACGAGCCATAAATAACCGACGCAGGGACATCCGTTGTTTCTCCCGGCTCTTCTGACGGCTGCCACCGTCACCGATACCAAGGAACGTCTATGCATGTGTTCTATTATAAATACAACATGACCAGCGCAGCGACAGAGAGCAGTAGCCGAACCAGCAGCGGCAGCAGCAGCTAAATAGCGATTTTTAATAATAATGACGAAGCACCAGCCGTGGTTGTACAAGAGACGTTATGGATGAAGTCGTGGACCTGTTGTGGATTTATGGTTCCACTCTTCTCGCGCGTCCTTCCCCTCAATATTTCTCGCTGAAGTCAAAGAACAATGGAGTGATGAACTGCTTGTTTCTCTACCGTTTGTGAGAGAAGGAGCGAAACACGGCGAGAGAGATAGTCCGTGCCCGTTCGAAGTGATCCTTTCGGCGACGACTCCACCGATTCCTTTTTCCTTTCGATTGAGCGGCGGCCTTCGTGAAATTGGCGGCCGCTAGCGCCGCCGAAAACGAAGAGCAGTTGCGATCCAGCGACTCTTGTCGCTTGTTTCATCCATCCATATATTTCTCTGTCGGCCGAGTGAGGGGAGATGAGGCATACGATGTCGTCTCACTTTGATTAATGGAGAAGCGTGAATCATCAATCGCTTCTTCGTCTTCTCTCCTCCTCGTCGTCGTCGTCTCCATGATGAGCTTGGTTCGTTCCTTTCTCTCCTTCGTGTACCTCTCTTCTGCCTTCAAACGCATCATTTATTATGACCGCCTTCGTTAGAAACATGGACTGCGAGCTGCGAGATCCATGGACACAGACTTCATACACCGAAAAGCCGGTGTCTTCACCACGAGAGCAACTACTGACCGAGGAACTGGTGGACCGACTGGCCGTACGACGGACAGTCAGTCCTTCCGCGATGACCGAATGAATAGAGTGACTGATGGATGAATGGATCGATCAGTCGGTCGGTCGGTCGGCCGGTCGAACACACGAGCCACTAAGCGTGCGAGTGAGCGAGCGAGCGATTGATTGATGTAGCGTCTCTCCTAGTCTCGATGATCCATGACTCAGCGTGTGAATGGATTTCGCGATGGTTTTCCTGGGATGGACAGATGGATAGATTGATGAATGCACCCGCTCCACCTTGGCAACAGCTTTCATTCTGCAACTGCATCGTCATGGCTATCTTCCCCAGTTCTCCATTATCGCCGATCTGTTCATTGCGCTCCCGATGGATCGATGCGCCTGCTCTGTCCCAGTTCATCTTTCCTTTTCTTTTAGGACTGTCGACGTGGATGCCAAATGTGGGCACAATCTAAAAGTCAAACTCATCCACAATGACCCGATGCTAGGCAGATACTCTCTAGAGATCCACCCCTAAATTATTCGAGGACGAAACTCGTCATCCATCATGATGAATTATCCTTAACCGGACGGGTCGATCACAAGGTCCTTCGACTTCTGCAAATTATTTTGTGGAGTCAACGAGATCTCCTCGAGTTCCTCTCGATCGCGGAGTCGAAAATGCGGGGGCGATCCGAACAGCTGACGACGATTATGCGCGGATCGAGCAGTACAGGGAAAATGAGGCCAGTGGCGGGAGGATATCGACAGGAGAGAAGGTTCCATCGAGAAGAGCATATACAAAGGAATGATATACAAATATTCCAAGACGGAGGAGCGAAAAGATTTTCTCTCTACGGCTCATGCCATCTTCTCCCTTTTCCCCGCGTATTCTGTAAACTGAGAGTCCTACTCGGCATCGGACTCATCGTCCTGTTGTTATTGTTGTCGTCGTCATCATCGACGCCGATTGCGATTGTCGGCGAGCAGCGACTGTGCGTTGCTGCCTGGTGCCCCATCCAGATGAAATATCTCTTCCGATGATTAATTGAAGCCAGACGGAGAACGATTTGTGCATTGGTTGCTTCACTGGCTAGAGAGAGAGCTGACTGACTGATAGACAGGCTGACTGACTTGTTTTTTTTCTCGCTCCGTATTCTGAAACAGGCCCTGCCCAGTTCGATTCGGCTCGAATTACCTCTGAGCAAATCGAGCCACTCGATCGCGCGTTCGCAAGGCGAAGCTGTGGCCGAGTTTTTTATTCATTATAATAATGATGATGATTCCAACGATCCTCACCTTCCTATTCATTACTTGTTCCAGGCGATGACGATTCCGAGGATCGAGAAGTTGCGCTGAAACATGATCTCATGAACGACAACAACAACACGTTATCAGCTGCGAACGTGAAGCGCTCGCCGAACCCTTCGCCGGAATCGATCGTTGTAGCCGCGAATCCCCTCGACTTCAGCGTCCGCCGATCCTCGGACGATGAGGACAGTAGTCGTTCCCCACCGCTGCTTCTCCCACGAGCAACTCCAAGTCCAAAAACTCCCGGCGACGCACCTGATGCACCTTTGGATCTGTCGAGAAAGCCCTCCTACGGAGGGTGTTTGACCCCATCATCATCATTATCATCATCGACGACGACGACCACCACCACCAATTCAAATTCAAACGCCACCACATTGCCTGCATGCCCCCGTTCTAGTCTGCCAGCCTTAGCGTTATCCTCATCGGCCATGTCTCCGTTAGCGTCGTTAGCGTCGAAAATCGAAGCTGCTCAATGGGCGCCGACCCCGAAGGCGGTGTCGTCCAACCGTTCACTCGATTGGAAACCTGCGAAGCAACCGAAACTCGATGCGCACGGCCTGAAAACCCGGGACTCGTTCAGACCCTCGAACCGACAGAATCCCTGGCAATCGCAATGGATCAGTAGATCGGGCGAGCAGACGAAAGACGTTTTCACTTGCGTCTGGTGCAAGGAGCAGTTCCAATCATTGGCGGATATGACAATCCACATGAAGAATTCGCCTCGTTGTGGAATGGCCGGAATGCACGCGGCAGCCGCTTCGTCGTCGTCGTCCTCGTCGCCCTCTTCGGTTTCGTTGTCGTCGAGTGCGGCTGTAGCGGCCGCGGCGGCCCAGGCCACGGCAGCTGCGGCAGCTGTGGCCGCCGCCGCAGCCGTCGGTGGCGGAGCCCCCTCGGTCCTGTCGCAGCAGCAGCAGCAGCATCATCAAGCGGCAAGCTCAGCAAAGGCTCATCATAATGCGCCTACCCCGCCACAGCATCCTCAGCAAGCAACAACGAAAGACGGAGTTCCTCTGCCTCGTAAATTGGTTCGCGGACAAGATGTCTGGCTGGGGAAGGGCGCCGAGCAAACTCGTCAGATCCTCAAGTGTATGTGGTGCGGTCAGTCGTTCAAGAGTTTGGCCGACATGACGCAACACATGAAAGTCACCCAACACTACACCAACATCATCAGTCAGGAGCAAATCGTCTCGTGGAAATCTCCCGATGAGAAGGCAGCTCAGAACCAAAGTCAGCAAGCGAACGCCGTCCTGACGTGCAAGGTCTGCGACCAGACGTTCGGATCGCTCAAGGAACTCAACTACCACATGGTCAAGAACAACCACTACAAGGACCACATTCTGAGAATGTTCGGCGACGCGGCAGCGAGCGCCGTCGCCGCCACCAGTCCGCCCGCCGCCACGGCGACCACCCCACCGTCTAAGAGGAACCCCGGTCGGAGCGACCGCGGGAAAAAGTCTCTACCCGTCAAAAAGCTTCTCGAGCTCGGAAGACAAGCCACCAGCCCTGAACAAGCTCTCGCCCAGCTGGCCATGGGGAGAATTACCTGTGAAGAGTGCGGAGACAAGGTCGAATCGAAGGACTTCGTGTCCCACGTCAAGCAATGCCCAAGAATTTTCGGTGAAATGCCGCTGATCGGAAGCGCGACCAGAGACGCCGACGACGACGACTCCGAGAGCCACCGGTCGGTGACACCGAAATCCGTGGATTCCTCCAAAGAGCACAACGACACCCACCATTCTAATCATGTTTCCCACCACCATCACCACCATCTCCATCACGGGACGTCGGCGTCGTCGAGCGCGTCCACCGGTGCGGGTGGCGGCTCGGTGCTCGCGTCGCTCGAGAAACTCGTCGAAAAATCATTCGATGGCAAGGGAAAACGCCAGCAGGGCTCTGGAATTCTTCAGCGATTGGGCATCGATGAAGAAGTTTATCCTCCGTGGCATCCTGCGGGATCCCCGAGGAACTTCAACAGTGCAATAAGCGCCGCGCAGATGCTCAAAAGCCCGGGCTCGTCCGAAGGTCTCGACCATCCGAGCCGAGGCTCGACTCCAAGCGGCATTGGGAGGGCGCAGTACGGCGGGAACAGTTCACCCGATAGACAGTCGAGCCGTTCCGCGCCTTCTCCCGCAGCACCTGGAGCTCACGTCCGATCCTCGCCGGCTCCTTCGGAGTCCTCGACGAGGGCTTCGAGTCCCGGAGCGCCCGATCATCTCGCGGTCGCTGCCGCCGTCGCTAGCGACGAGAAACGCCAAATTCACTCTCGATCTCCCGGAGCGGAGAGCGCGGCCTCGATCCACGAAGATATCAAAGCACCGTCACCCCAGAAATCCAGAAACAAGAACAAGGACAATCCGCTGCGTGAGCTTGAGAAACTTCTTGACAAAACCGAGACCCATAGACAGTCGGCGATGTCGTCGGCGGGCCTGGCGGGTCTACCGGGCGGAGCCGCGGGCTCGATCCTAGCGTTCTCTTGGGCCTGCGGTGATGGAGCCACCGCTTCCCCCGAAGGCTCTTCCATAAAGTGCGCGTTCTGCGACACACATTTCGTCTCGAAAGGAGCCTACAGACACCACTTGTCGAAGATGCATTTCATCAAATCCGACAATAACTCAGACACGGACAAGAACTCCGAGCGCGGCTCCGTTTCGCCGGCGCCCTCTCAACCGCCATCGGTCGCTTCGGATTCCGCATCGTCTGCGAACGACTCACCTCATTCGAAGTTCCTCAAATACGCAGAACTGGCCAAACAGTTGTCGTCGAAGTACGTGTGATCAGACTTTGATGCGAGAACAGAGGCGATTCGCAGCGTCCGGCTGTGTTCGGGCAACGCAAACGATCCGAGATCGTATCGTGTCATCCGTACTCCATTTGGAAGAATTTCACAGCCGGAGTCCGACGGGTAAACGCAGAACTAGACCCGGAGACATATCACCCGAAGACGTATGGAAACACTTCGCGACGTCATATCACTGATCTTACTGTAGATGACGACCGATTGAGCAGAGATATAGCGACACTGTGTTCGGAGCGATGTGCGTGGCGCGTGTGAGCGAGTTGCGTGCTTGTGTGTGTGTGTGAGTCTGTGTGTACATACGACGACATCGAGATTAGTCGCAAACGAATCTCATGGAAAGATTCTCATTCCACTCAGCTCGGAGACTTCTGAGCCTCTCCAGCCTCGAAAACGGAAGCGAAATGGAGCAAACGAAGGAAAGGGGCAGACAAACCAACACTATTATTCTTCGACTCCTTTTGTTGTACTTCGGATCTCTTTCTGGACCTTCTGGAAACACCCGTCTGCAGACATTCGGATATCGAGCGGAATCCGGAAATCAATCGGGGAATCCCGATCCCGGAATTTCCCCCTGGATGAGACTCTCCGAGCAGAGCACATTGGGAAGACGGTCTGGAGAGAACTTTTGCATTCCAAACTAAGTCATCGCTCTGAGTTCCGGCTTTTTGAACTCTGATCTCCCGGAACTCGCGAGCGACCCTTCCAATCACCCACCAACTCAACCGCCTACCCAATCAACAAACCCAACCGTGCCTGCGGCATGGTGAATACGTAGTAGAAAGAGAGACTTGGAGCGTTTTCCTCTTCTACCCCTTCGAAACCCACTTACTCGCCCTTGCAACCCTTGAAAAAATTAGCGGCTCGCACCATACGTCGTTTTTGCGGCCGTGGCTGTACTTAAAAGTTTTTGTGATTTCTAAGTAGAATGGAAGAAAGTCAGTCAGTCAGGTTGTCGAGGGCTGGCAGGAAGTTGTCAACGTTAGCGACGCAGTAGTGAAGATAAATCTCCTTGAAATATACGATTCTTGGAGGTAATACGTAGAGTTCGCCATTCATAAACCCTTTGCCCTTCTACCTTTAAACTCTCGTTTCTTTGAGAGCCCGCCACACACTCACTGGGGTCTTGTTCGGCAACTCCTGTACTCAGCATACGTATATAAACTACGAACTCCCCTCCGATTGCAACAACAACAACAACCAGTAATAATAATTACGATAATAACAATCATCATGAACGTGATGGAGACCCTTCATGGTGACGATAGCATCAGCATCCGTAACGACAACGATGCTCATGATTGTACCGAGCAACATGATGATTACACGTTTTTTTGTAAATATGAATAATATTTATTGAAATAAGTAAATAAGCCGACTCCGATGCCGGCAGCGTCTACGAGAGGGCAGAGACCGCGATTTCCTGATGGACGCGGTGGAACCCGGGTTCAAATCGATAGAAGTAGGACATATTCTGATTGAATTGAATAAATTATCCCAACGTATCCCAGAATGAATGCGGGAGAACTCGGCGACGAGAATCGACAGATACTGAATGCAGCTCAACGAACGGACTGCGCAGAACGCAACGACAAATAACTGAAAGAAGGAGATGTAGTTGGAAACACCCGGGAAAGAGATTTTCCAAATGCAAAATAAAACGGAAGAAAAACCGAAGATTTCTAAAATCGAGAATGACTTGTTTTCATTGATATCCGGGACAAGAGGGGCAGCGTGTGATCTGGAGTTCTCCAATGACGTGCGGGGAAAGATTTCGAGTCGCTCCGAGCTCGTTAGATCTGGAGAAGGACATCAACGGCGAGGAAATGAGTCCACCGGGTGGCGAAGATGCCTTTGACGCTTGGTCTGTTGTCGAAGATGTTGTTGCAGCCAACGATTTCAGACGGAAACGCCGTGAGATCGTCGATGGTAATAAATCTTCTCTAGCAGACGTACTTCATCGTCGCAACTTCACTACTTGAACGTACAGAAAGCGAACAAGTGGGTGAGGGTAGCGGCGAGAGACAATTATATATTTTGAGTCATATCAGTTGGCTGAACGACACAGCGGCTTTCGAATGCAGAAGCAATTATTCACTTGCTTTGACGTCTTCTCGCTTCGCGGCCATAGATCAAACGAGGCCTTGAAGTAGATTGAAGTTCTGTGCCGCTTTTGCTGCTACCATCGAGTCTCCATAGACACACGAATAAACAGACCGACGGGCAACTGAACGAACGAACCAACGAGCGAGCGAGCGAGTGAGCGAACAGATAGACAGGCAAATCCCATCGTCCTCGGAACCATTACGACGGACGTATCTGTCATTAAACGACACGCCGGCAGGTGGCAAACTCTTCTTGACTTCGTGCACATTTTGGAATCGAATGAAGTCTCCCCGAGGACGTACCGATCGCTCTCATTCTGAATCAAGACAATGGGGCTATCGAAATTAGCAATCAATCGATTCCCGTCAGAAGAACGAGGCCGACATTTTTGAGGGAGACGAGAGAACACCAATGCCAGGGAGAGACTGGCGAGAAAAGGAACCAGGGAATAGGATTAGATTACTTGTCCCGCACATGCGTATGTCGCCTTTGATGAAGAACGGAGTGCTTTTCTGTAGATTCGCCGAGCGAATGTCGCCCGCTCATCCATGATAAATGAACAGATCTCCGCTCACTGCCCGCTGGTCCACTTGCCTGCCTGACCGACCGGACGCCCGCCCGCCCTGCCGACGGCCTGCCTGACGGTCCGCTTGCTCGCCCTCTCTAAGAGCATGATGATCGTGACAAGTCGGCAACCAAGCTAGCGAAACAGACAAACCAACCAGTAAGCCGACAAGCTAGTGAGCGCAAGCATGCGAGCTGATGAAGCTTTTGAATTCGAGCCTCTGTGCAAGCAGCCAAGCAAACAAACACCAAGACTCCCATGGAAAGAGCTGATCATCATTGATTGATGATCGCTGCCTAAGCACTCCTATCTCGTGGTCACTCACATCGAATCTTAGCTAGTCTTACACTCCGCAGATCACGAGTCGCAATGAGGAGCAGAAGCCGCAGCATCATCCAAATCGGCTCGAATATCATTCGCCCGGACCGGGACTCCCGGATAGGATCCCAAATGATACTGGACGATCGCGGAAGATTCCGCGCAAATTCCGTAATCCGATCCGATACATGCGAGAACAATTTCAATCGTGCGATGATCACGTCTGGTCGCACGATGGAAGAACTCAGACTTCGCGGCTCCTTTCACGCTCATGGCGGATGGGAGCGTGACTACATTTTGATTGGGACGTTTTTATTACGTGAGGACGATCATATGGGAGCACGACAGTCACGGGCGTAGGCAGCGATTCTCTTCTCGGGCAAGAGAAGGCAAGCCGTTTCATCTCGGCACTGACAAGGTGACTTGAAAAATGGAATCAAAAACCGCTTCAAGTCGTTGCTTTCTGCTACTGCCGCCCCTTCCATCCCGCCGACGGCGCCCGCCTCCCTGTTCCGCTGACATATCCCATGCAAGAATCCCCTCCTCAGTCCCTTGGTTATTTGTCTTTTGCTCGCATGCTCTTATATGTACCTCCTCGCAGAGTGTCGCAATGGAGTGGTCGCAATGTTCCTGATGTCGCAGCCGCTAAATCTCTTCATGTCGGTGGAGCGCGGTAGACATTTTTCGGCGGGGCTTTAACGCACTCGCTTGTTTACTCAGTTGTTCTTCTTCTCCACCGCGTCCGCGTTTACCTTTCTTTCGTCCCCGCTCGCGTACAGGTGCATGATAACTCTCCTCTGTTCCATCTCTCTCCTTAAATGAAAATGTATGCCCACAAAGGCAACAGTCGGTCGGAGACATCCCGCGAAGTGTGCATGAGGGGAGTGAAGGAATAACAGCGAACGGGAGAAGAAAAAAACGAAGGGGTAAGGTCGGCAGGGCATCAACCAGTCGGTCGGTCGGCTCGCGCCGCAACACGAGGCAAAAAACTAACAAAGATATGACTTACGGGACATGGAACGGCCGCAGCAGCAGCAGCAGCATTGCTTGCCGACTAGCAGGTGGCGGGCTGACTCGCTCGCTCGCTCGTTGGTTCGCTCGCTGCAAGGAACGCATCGTCTCACGATGAATACACGAGCATATGTGATTTTTCTCAAGACGGCCAAGAAAAACAAAGCTCGCGAATGCGCCAACGGCGACGGCGGCGTTAAGCAAATGACGTGTCAGATTTTGCTCCGCGCACCGTGCATAGTTGATGATGTCCTACACTCGGCATGAGGAGCGGGGAGGGAACAACAAGGAATGTAGAGCTGCCCCAAACGACCAGACACTTGCAATCGCCACGACTCCATGCTCATATCGGCCTCGGCCGGAGAACATGTTTGCGTTTTTTCCTGAGCTATATCGCTCCCATCGTTGAGTATAGGGGGTGATCGTCTCCCCCGGCCCCCCCCCCCAACCCAGAGCCGCACCGAGATGCCCCGGCCGTGATTACACAGTTTTGACCTCGGAGGGGCATTTCATCCTTCCTGTTATTCCTGTACCCTCAGCCGGAGCTTGAATCGGAGTTCGAGGAGTCGCTTTAAAAACGGAGCCGGTAGTCAAGGTAGGTCATTCCGACGATGCTGCTCCGATGTTTTATGTTCGCCTCCGATTGGAAATGGAGCACGGGGAGATGTTCCCCTTTCCCCATACCGCTGTCCTGAGGAACTACTCGAGTCATCTCCTCGGGGAGATCCGGTTCCTAACAAGAGTCTCCCATATTAGTATCTTATCCGAACGATGTCGTCCTGTACGCTTCCCCCGTGTGAGATTCTCATGGCCCGTCCCATCCTTCCACCACGCTCCTATTGTTCTGCTCCCCCTCTGCCAGACCGCTGCCGGGGCTCGTCGTAAATAAGCTGATTTAATATAATTGCCTTAAGAATATACGGCCGGATGGCAACGAGCAACGCCCCAGAGACCTATCCGGAGCCGCGACCGGCGCAGTT